GGGATTTCTCGACGGATTTTGGAGAGGAGCTGGGACATTGCCGAGCGGCGCGCACCGTCCTGGATCCGGTACACCTGGAACTAAGCAGAAGCGGATGCGCAGTGAGGGAAGAGGGCTTCCCATTCTGCTCCAGCCCCACTCCGCTCCAGCCCCACTCCCCAGCATTGCCAGCCTCCCGCAGCCTCCCCAGCAGGGTGGGGCAGCACACGCCAGCCAGAGCCAGAGGGCTCTGGAGGACAAATTCCAGAGTAACCGAAGTTGCCCAGCCCAGGTGGTTTCTGGCACAGCCGTGCTCTGGCTCACAAGACCAGCTGAGCGTCTCCAGTCGCCGTTACCTGTCTGAGCAGGATGTCAAAGTAAGCCGTGTTCCAGTAGGACCCATCCTTGTCGGGGAGATGCAGGAGGGTTTGGGTGCTGGGGTCTGCCTGCGAGCTGTCGGTGCGCACAGCGAGGCCAAAATGGAAGCGGAGGAAGTGTCGGGGGTCCTGGGCAAAGCTCTCCACTTTATGGTAGAGGGAGGCGAGGTGTGGAAACTCTCCTTGGAAGAGGTTCTCCCCAGGGCATAGGAAGTGGGGCAAGCGGAGGAGGATCACCAGGAGCCTGTAGACAGAACCCTCCAGGTCCTGCCAGTCCTCCGGGGAGGGGAAGAGCTCCGTGCCCCACAGCAGCACCATCTGCAGGGAGGGAAAGAAGGGCACAGGGTGGGGCACTTCCCCACAAAGGCTGTGCCCTTGCACCCGGCAGTTCATCGTGCCAGAACCCCAGAGCCTGAGACCTCAACACAGACCTCATGTTCAGCTGATGCCCCACCAACCCTTTAGTTTTTGAACCTTTGCTTTGCTGCCCAAAGAGCCCCCGTTTCAGCTTCAAGACAGGTCCCAGCTCTTCAACAGCTCCGAAACAACACACCCAAGCTTTCCGCAGGCTTTTCAATAGTTAAAAACCCTGCTTTGTGGTTTCCACCAGCCTCCAGCAGGGCAGGTGAACCCCCACACCAGCTCCCTCAGCACGGCGCTGGCAAATGGCCCAGCACCGATGCCTTTTGGCGACATGGCGTAATAGGTGACGCACGCAGTGGGCTGGAGCAGAAGATGCTTTTTTGAAGGACAGATGCATACTGTGCCCCTTTAAAAAAAAATAAAAACCAAAACAACACAAACATAAAAGAATGCAACATAAAGCAAAACCCACAGGATCTGGGTTACTTGGAGCTGGAGCCATTCTCTTGGCAGAACAGGACTTTGCCTCCTTCTTCGCCCCAGCCCAGAGGGCTGCCACAAGGCAGGGCACACCTGGACTGTGCCACCAGCTGCTGTCCCCAGCACGGCCCCTTTCCCAACTGGCATCACTAGCTGGGCAGGGGTCCAGAGTGCTGAAAACAGGTTGGGTGGGGAGAGAGGCTTTTGTCAGAGGAAACGTCACCCTCAGCCCTGTACAGCCACCTCCCAGCACGCTGGGGCGCAGGATGACCTGCAGCATGGCAGAGACAGCAGTGCAACCCCTAGCATGGCTCTTGCAGACACAGGGGATGCCTGGCACTGGATGAGTGACACAGAGCTCAGGGTGTTTCCGGCTGGAGATTGCTGGTTCAATGCTGCCATTTGCAAGGAAGAAGCATTCAAACCCTTCTAACCACAACCGGTCGCATGCATCCTTTCCAGACACAGCCATGGGCTGGTGCATCCCAAAACACTGCAGGCACTCAGGCTTGTTGCTTGGGTTTTTTTCCAACAGTGACTTGGCTGCAGCGGAGAGCAGCTGTGGTGAGCAGCAGTCCTGCCAGCAGAACCCACCTACCTTCAGGTGGTTGCATGTGAGCCCGCCTTTGCCCTGCTCCACTCCCCAGTCCTGGCTGCGGAGCTGGTCGAGCAGGCGAAGGCTGTCCAAACGCGGTCCCTTCAGCGTGTCCACTGCCCAGATCAGCTTCAGGATGGGGAGGTGGGTGGAGGATCTGGAGAGAGAAAGTGGGGTCCGGTGAGAGGGATGGTGGATACCTGCATCCTCCCCGCTGGGGAGAGGGTACCTGCAGTGACCTAGAGCACTTGGGGACCACCCCCAGCCAACCCATGTGGCCACAGGCACACAGCAGCCTGGATCCACCTCAGACCAGGGAGATTTGCAGCGTGATGGGTGTCAGGGACTGCTAAGCACCTATTTTTCTGTCTCAAACAATTCAGGCAGAGCATGTGTGCAGAGAAGGCTCCAACATGTCTAGGAGCAGCTCGGGAAGAACATGTTGAAAGAAAAGGTTCTTTTTTTGCAAGTTGTTAACATCACTTCAGTGCCAGCACACCGGCTGAGGTGGTGCAGGGTTGCTGGTGGCTGGGGTTTGTCTCCCTGGCAGGGAACCAGCCACCTCCCCAAAGGCAACATGGATACAGGGCTGTCACCATTTCCGCCCGAGGGGTGGTCCTGGACAGACTGAACCGTATAAAAGGTGAAGCTTGATCACTTATTTTTGTTGAGCCATCACCCTATGGACGAAGATTCCACCGGCTGAGGTGGTGCAGGGTTGCTGGTGGCTGGGGTTTGTCTCCCTGGCAGGGAACCAGCCACCTCCCCAAAGGCAACATGGATACAGGGCTGTCACCATTTCCGCCCGAGGGGTGGTCCTGGACAGACTGAACCGTATAAAAGGTGAAGCTTGATCACTTATTTTTGTTGAGCCATCACCCTATGGACGAAGATTCTGCCTGAGACGACACTGGAACCAGGGTGGTGATATTTTGCTGCCACGGTCTTTCCCTCTCTGTTTCTGCCCCTCACTTTCTTCTCTCTCAACTCTTTCCTACTCTATTTTCTATCTGACTTTACCTCCAAATAATTGACAAGTGTTATCTGGTGCTAAACCCTGAAGATTTGGTAATTGATAAGTGTTAGCTGTTGTTTGATGCTGAACGGCTGATTCACAACATTTTCGTGGTTGCTGAGGAAATTCAATAAAGTGGTGTGGTACCGTTCCTCTGCAGCCCTGAGGGATTGGCAAGTTTGGTCAGTGCTCCTTTCGGGGGATCCTAAAAGATTCACCTCCCTCGTCACCCACTGAGTGGGGAGAGACATGGGGTTGGTGCTGAGCAGCTCCTGCCTTCCCAGGAGGGATGAGAGGGGTGGTGAAACGGAGTTGTGCTCCCCGACGTGCAGCAGGGAGGGCCACAGGCTGTCCTAGAGGAGGGGTGGGTTGGACCCCAAGGAGAGGGGCGAGTATCCGGCTGGACCCTGTTTTGCCCGAAATAAGCCTGCCAGATGCCCAGGCTCATTCCCGAAGGCCGAGCGGGGATCTGAGAGCTGCTGCCCTCCATGCGGCCAGTGTCCAGCTCCTGTGAACAATTTGGGGGGACTCCTTCAGTTGCATCCCCCTGCCACTCTTTTTCCCCCCCCTGCCCCTCTTTCCTTGAGGTGCCTGAAATCTGGCTGAGGCTTTTCCCCCAGCGCAGGGCAGCAGGTTTGGGTGTCACGAGGGGGTGACTTCACCCCGCTGTTGACACTTCCATTTTCCCATCCCCTTTCCGCTGACACCTGGCCGTGTTGCCAGCCAGATGGGATCACCTGGGACAAGGTCACCGCGCTGTGCGCGGCCCAGATGCTCACCTCCAGCAATGGGGAGAGGCAGGGATGAAGTGAGCCTCTTCCGTGGCCTTCCGGAGCCTGCCTTCAGGAAAACCCGCATCGTTCTGCCGTCCCTCGAGCCGGAGCGGCTCCTGCTGCCTCCTCACCACGGGAACGATGTCAAAGCGTATGGTCTTCCAGCCACCACGGATCAGCAAGGAGAGCTCTGTGGCATCTTCCTGCAGATTTTCGGCGCTGAGGTCACCTAGATGTGTAGGGTTTGGCAGCGGTTAGGAGGTGACGGCAGCTGGTCCCGCAGGCTGAACTGGGTATGTGCTGCAACGCCCGTAGGCACGTCGCACCCTGCTCGACTCGGCCCTTTCCAGTGTTGCAAGTTGGGCTGCAGTTCCCTGGTGAAAGCCTTTCTCCAAACCCCGCTGGGGTGGTTTTTGGGGAAGGAGCATCACTCCAGTGGGGCTCAGGGCCAGGCCAGCAGGTGTGGGCATGGTGGGAAGCCTCGAGTGGCCAAACTGGACCATGCTGCTGCGTGGCTGAACAGTGCTGAGGAAAACATCATGGTCTGATAAACACATCATGGTCCCAGAAAAATGGACCCCAGGGCGTGGAGGCAGAGGAAGAAGAAGGGGTCTGACTTGGCTGCGGAAGAAGGAGGGAATGGTGGGCTTGCTGGAGCTGGGTTAAGAGACTTTCAGACCTGCTGGTCCCCTCACATCACCCTTCCATCAGGGTTGAGATTTACTCCAAGAAGTATCTCTGGAGCATGAAGAAGATGATGGGACCCCTACGGACACTCCGAGGGTCCCTTACCCCCTGTGTCCTTCCTGAGGACACTGCTCCTAGCTGGGGTCCATATGTGCAGAGGGTCAGACCCATGCCCCGAGGTCCTGGGGCTCACCTCTCCCTGGGGCACTCAGAGGCCAGGAGAGATGGAGGGAAGGCAGTTGAAGTGAGCCAAGCAGGCCACATCCCTGAGCAAACCCTCCCTGGGGGCTAATGGCAAGGGTGGGCGAACCCCGCATGGAGATGCCACCCACCAAGGACAATGCCATCAGCTCAGGGTGAAGATGCTCGAGGATGACTCTGCTGCTGTGGGACGGCAGGGAGTAGTTTACATCTCCCCTTCCGTAGCTGAGGGCAAAGCCTCTTCCAGCGCACGGCAGGACACTCACTCACCCAAGCTTTGGGCGAGCCATGCGCCCAGGGATTTACTCCTCAGCCCATTCGCACGGGGGCCAGTGCTGTGCCAGCTGGGCCAGAGGGAGCGGCAGTGCCGGTGTACGCACCTGGCTGAAGCAGGAAGAGGCGTTGGCAGCTCACGATGGCCGAAACAAGGAGCTCTTTCAGGTGCTGGAGGACTTTGCCTGGAATCAGGCACCCTGCACAACCTCCCTGCTCCATCCCACCCCCGGCGCCGGTCCAGTCCTCCAAGTCGGTCCCTGGAGAGGGCACTTCCAGATAGCAGGTGCCCAGCCCTGGGCAGTGCCCAGCTGGGGTGTCCTCAGGCCGGCAAAGCAGCACCCGCAGAGCATTGCCGTCGATCCGCAGAGGGACCTCGACGGTGACAGGATCCTCGGAGCTGCAGAGAGCAAATTCAAAAGCTTCCAGGTTCCTGGCGTAGTCCACAAGGAAGCGGGGGTCCCTGGCGTGGACGGCCTCCA